GAAATTTTGCAAACGTCACTACCACTACCACGACCACTATACCATATTGCTGCCATACAAACTGAACGATCGGAATCAAATTCTTGTATGGATAACTTTCACATTTGACGTGGTATCATCACGAAAGTTGGCACCGTTTATTTTCTAAGATAATAATGTACGAAGAAGTTTTTCAGATGGGCTTACTGCAGCATATAGCTGCTATACAAACTGAACGATCGGAATCAAGGGTTTGTATGGAAAATTTTCGCATTTGACGTGGTATCTTCACGAAATTTGGCATGGATTACTGCTTAAGGTCACAATATAATCTCAGAAGAAATTGTTCAGATCGGTTAACTATAGCATATAGCTGCCATACAAATTGACCACATAGTTACTAAAAGAAATGCACCTGTGAAGGGTATATTAGCTTCGGTGCAGCCGAAGTTTACGTTTTTTCATGTTTTTGTATGAATGTAAGTACCATATGTAAGTACGTATTTATTAATAATTAAGTCATATTATACCTATGCAATGTAATTTGCCCTTTTATGTCTCACCTTTTCAGTCTTTATTTCTTCTTGGAAATTCCCTATCAGCTGTTTTGAAACGATGGGAAATTTTATGAGCTAATGCGCCTGCTTTTTACGTATGCATAAAGAAAGAAATTATAATATATACATACAAACATATAAATGTGGTGATGTACACACATATACACACATATATGTATGTAAGTGCATCTGTATAAATTATTTTAAGCGATAATAGATGAGGACGGCCTGTGGCTGTTTCTACTAGTATATTGTGTGAGTGTGTATATACTCCTTTGCATATATGTATGTACATATATACTGATATATAATATGTGTGAAAGTGTATACACATTCATTTAAAATGTCTACGCAAATGATGTTCGGCCTGCCAATCTTCAGTGGGGGAAATACGTTCACCGATTTAAACTGTCCTAACCTATACGAAAACAGAATTTATAATGGGTAAAGATTACTGTTATTGTTGTTGTGTACGCTTTATATTTACTTGCACTTCTCTTTGTCACGAATTTCAGCCATACATATGTATTTAAACACATATATACATATGTATATCTACATATATAAGTAGAATAAATATTACATTTAGTACTGCAAGTGTTGCTGTGAGCAACCAATCGCCTCTGTTGTTATTGTTTGTGAGTAACGAATTCATAGAATAGCATATCAAGTTGAGTATAAAAAGCCGGTGATTCCGCCTTATTTTACTTCAAATCAATCAGAATGAAGTTCTTCGCTGCACTGTTGCTCTTGGTGTGTTTGGTTGTTGCGTGTCAAGCGCAAGGAGGTGGCGGTGGCGGCGGTCGATACGGTGGAGGTGGTGGTGGACCTTATGGTGGCGGAGGTGGACCTTATGGTGGCGGCGGTGGTCCCTATGGTGGTGGCGGTGGTGGACCTTATGGAGGAGGTGGTGGCCCTTATGGTGGTGGCGGCGGTGGTCCCTTTGGCGGAGGTGGTGGCGGTGGCTACAAGCGTTGAATACTCTAATATTGGAAAGCATTTATATTTTTGTCTTAAGAAATAAAAATCAGAAACTCACCAGAATAAATTTTAAATTATTGCAGTGTTACATTCGTGCAATAAATATTCGAGCCCTGTATTAAAACAAGTAAGGAAGACTAAGTTCGGGTGGAATTCAAGCAATTTTTATACTCTCGCAACAAAGTTGCTAAAGAGAGTATTATAGTTTTGTTCACATAACGGTTGTTTGTAAGTCCTAAAACTAAAAGAGTCAG